TTTCGGCGCCTGACGTTTCCGGCGGCTTGCAGTTTCAGGACCTGTCCCAGATGACGAGGATTCCGTGGGTGACAACGTTTCAAGGATATTTTCTTCGGTCGTCGTATTTGGTTCTTTAAAAAAAAAAAAGAAAATTTTCGCGCAGATGAAAATAAGGGAGAAATTGTTCTGTGTTACGCGCTTCTAGAATATTTTTTTTCCATAAATTCCATTGAATATTCATTCTGAACGTGTACAAAGGCTTTATCGATATTCGTGATTGGGTTGTTTTGTTTTATTTTTTACTTGCTGAAAAGTGCTTTTTTCGTACTGCTTTATTCCTTTTTTTTGATTCATTTTAGAAGGGACATTTTCCGAGGGACACAGAATTGATTAGCATTTACGAAAAGCATCGCATGACGGGGTTAATGGGCTTTTGGAGGTCTGGAACCAATTATCCATTTCCTCCGTCATTAAATGACTCAGTCAACAGACTCTACGCTCACTGAACTTATCGCTTGAACGGATCAAGTCCATTAGCCGAGGCACTACTGTATTGATCATTATTGTGGTGCTCCAGGAAAATCGTGGTACATGAAAATGTATTCATCTTTTTTTTTCGGGGTTGAACAAAAAAGTACCTGGTTCGGATTCAGGCGCGGCAGAAGTCGTGACTTCGGATTCTGGCTCAGGTTCAGCCTTAGCCTCTGCATTCAAAAGTTCTTCCGTTTTTGCAGAGTTGGTTGTTGCCTCGACGGTGATGGTAGTGGCTTTGGAAATGACCCTCGCATCAACCGGGCTTTCGGTGGTCAATTCTGCTTCGGGTTCGGGTTCAGACTTCGATTCAAGCTCCGGCTCAGGTTCCGCTTTCGCTGTTGGGGTTGTTGTGGTTATTACACTCGTTGCAGTCGTCGTCGTTGTTGTTGTCGTCGTCGTCGTCGTCGTACTGGTCTCAGTTGTTGTCAAGGGGGACAATGTCGACTGAATTTCAGTGACAGATTCAGGCTCGGGTTCCGATTCGGGTTCGGGTTCAGGCTCGGCAATCGCAGTTCCATTGACTGCAGCTGCTGGCGTATCATCTTTTTTCTCGTCTTCTGGATCAGAGTCGATGAAGCGGTACCTGGGGCGACCTCTGGCCGAGGCTGCGACAACCGGGGCAGCCTTTTCCGTGGCGGGTTCGGGTTCTGGCTCGAGTTCGGTCGACACTTCGGCTGGTTGATTCTGTTTGCTAGCGGTACGGCTCAGGCACTACACGCCCTTTTCCGCCGTAAACCAGCACTCCGGGAACCCAAAGGTCGGGTCCCGGTCCATCGACCACGACAACGGCGCCTCGTGCTAAAGCTAAAGAGCCCTACGAGCATCGATCCGCCAATACATCGTCAGTCTAAAAAGGTTAAAGGGATTCCAAGAAACAAATTATTATTTCTTTTCTAGCACAGTACAGCGAAACCCCATTAAGACGCCTACCGATAAACCGCCACCACCATCTGCAACCGAAATTTTTTTTTCGGAAAACAAATCTTACCTAACGATAAAAGCTTAAGAAACCTCATTGAAACACCAACCGTCAAAATATTTGACAGCTACAATAGGCTCCTACAGATTACACTAATTTTGTCTTCCTTAACCCGCTAACAATATTCGTTTCTACAAGGGGTCTCCAAATAGAAAAAAAAACCGAACACAAAGATTACATAACCGTGTGAATATTAGCTAGATAGCATTTACGCATTTCACGGTTAATTTGATAGTTTTCTAGAAGAATATACATTTTATTTTCTATAATGCTCAATTTTCCATATTACAGTATTTTAGATTTTCTGATGAACCACGACATTTCTTTAAGACGCCATAAAAATCACAAACAAATGGTGGATAATTATCGGGGTTTCATTGTACAGTATTGCAAACGAAAAGTTGGATAAAATACAAACGAGGGCAGTTTTATGAATTTCGGTCAATCCTTCGATTTGAAGGGCTTACAGGAAACGCGTTCATTGTCAGTTCGAAGAAAAAAAAAATGTTTTTAATCCCTTTTCGTTCTACGTGCGAAGATGAGTTGTCGAGTTGTCAATTTAACTTCGTGCGTTTTTATAATGCATAGTCAGACATGAAATTTTTCTACTAAGTTTTTTAAATTAACGAGATAAAGTTTTCAGGTTCTTTTATTCAGTTCTCGAATAAAGAAAAAAAATGCAGCTGGTAACGATTTCGAAAGCCTGAAAAATAAATGAACTCATTGCCAGTATATATGAAGAACAAATAGCATTCCGCAAACAAACTAGGAGATACGTGGATACTGGCATTGCCAATTTCAAAAGGATTCAGAAACAAATGTCAATCTGGGGTACAAAAGAAGATGATGACTTCGTCAGCCTTGAGAATAAATTTACAACACGGAAGATGCTAAACATGTACCGACGAGTACTCGTAAACAAAATCATGAACAGTTAATATAACTCAATAGCTGGTAAAAAGCAAGACAATGATAAATTACGACTCAAGAGATTTTTCATTTATTTTGAAAGCGTTTTTGCAATAAATTAAGCACGCGGAAACGAGCAATTTAAATCAGGGGGAAAATCGCGTGAAAACTGCGTCACACTGCGGCTAACCCATCAGACCTCGAGGGTCTGATATGAAGTACTCAATCTTTATTTCCAAACGGAAGGTACAGAAAGCAAGTGTTTTATTTTTATTTTTTTAGAAGTACTTTTCTTCCCATGAGAATAATCAATCACCGCGGGGGCAAAAACTAGTGAAAGCTGGAAAGGACCAACGCATGTTGTAGAAGTATTAAAACGATACGAAAAGGTACTGGATAAATTCCTCATAACCTAGACACTTCGATGCTGCCCTTTCAACTATGATTTTTCTCACGAGGACGAATTGAAATTTAAACTTTCGCTAAAAAAAATTTTATTTGAAAGAGAAATGATCTAAACTGAGAACCGGTGGAAATACAAGTGTATATCAATGGATTTTCGAAGTTGGTCTTCAACTTTCCGGCCCAACAAGCGTAGCAACTTTCAAATCGAATAAAATTGTAAAAAAAAATAAATGTCTCGAGGCAATATTTTACGAATATTTTCGAACAAAACTTGAAATTGAACTGCTCTCAGACTTTGGAGGCGCATACTTTATTTCGCCCTCGTAATATTTCTGTTTTTAGACGTACGATTTTTGTTGTTGAAAGTTTATACGGGAATGAAAATTTCATTATTCGTCTTTGTTCGCTTAGAAACTACCGGATTTCCAATTCAGTCAATTAATTCTAAAATTATTCATGGATATCAGCAGGAGGTCGGAATCAAAGAAGGCTTTCAATTACCTGCCATCGTCATTTCAAGTTCATGAGTTCGAAAATGCGAACTACGCATTAATAAATCATCGAGAGAAATTGGCGGGAAAGCGTTATAATTTAAAGTTTACCGAAGTCAGAGAAATGAAAGTTTTCCAAGTCGGACTAATGGAACATCAGAGTGAATCAAAAGGGCGGCATTTAATCTGCTTCCATATCGAGAGAAATTGGCGGGAAAGCGTTATAATTTAAAGTTTACCGAAGCCAGAGAAATGAAAGTTTTCCAAGTCGGACTAATGGAACATCAGAGTGAATCAAAAGGGCGGCATTTAATCTGCTTCCATCTGGGATTATGCAAATTCGCAAACACAATAAAAATATTATTTCTCATTAGCGGATGTAACAGATCTCTCGGTTAATGAGAAGAATGTATCTTCTGAAATGAACGCAGAAAAGTGACTAATTGAAAGGATAACAACAGAAGTGACATTTATCTGAAAAACTTTTCTTCTCATATCATTTTCAGTGACGTGGTTATGAAAATGTTGATTAGAATGGAGACTTCCCATATTCGAGAAAATAAAAAAGTTCTTCATTTAAGTTACTTTCGGCGATGCCGTATACAAGCTGGAGATACCAAACTTATTCAACACAATGCAAAGCACAATTTTTCCGCACGAAAAATAAAATTCAACTGCCAAATGATGCTTTTGCATTACTTTTTTACATTTTCACAGATGAGGCATCTGTTAATTCTAATCAGGGTTTCGTCGAAAACTAAATATTTCGCCCGTTTTCAGCATAAAACATGATTCTAACTTCTGCGCATTCGACCTGATATTGGTTATACAGATGTTTTTTAACATTAAGTTGCGGAAATTTTTGAAACAATGCGTTACCTATAAATTCAAAACGCCATTTAAAAAATACGACGCCTTCAAATAAAAGGGGCCATTTTGCGAGCAGTTCGAGATACTGAACACCATTTTTTTCTGCCGAATTTTTAATGCGTTTTATCCCTGTGAAAAGATTACCTCGCAATTTTCAAATGCATGTACTGTTTGAATCATTCATAAACATTTTCTACGGCATTCTGTGAGGCAAGTGACAAAAAGTATCTCTTAGATCCGCCAGAAATGTAGTTGAATGCGAAACGTCTGAAAAAAAGGCTATTTCGAATGTGCATACAAAATAACCTATTTATCTATTCAGAAATAAAAACAAAACAAAAATATTCTGCTACTCAAATAATAAATAAACTTGATTAAGTTTTCAACTGAACACTAAATTTTTTTTCTTCTAAATAATAGTAAAAAATGAAGTTCTTCAGCGTTGGATTATTAAAATCTCTGGTGTCTTATGTTTGCGTAAATTTAATTCAATGAATATATGATTTTCACAAAATCGAAGAAACTGATGAAATTAAAAAAAAATCAGAAAGATGCGCAATATACATATCAGAGGATACGGTGGCGATTTTTAAAAATCAAACCGAAACTCACTTGTCGCTGAGATTCTTTTTGGAGTAAGCGCCGAAGTTGATATTGGCCAAGGACTTGAGCTCGGACTTTTGCGAACACTTTTCGCCAAAGTTCCCGGGCAAACAGTAGCAGCTCTTCTTCGGATACGACGTGGCTTTGACGTCGACACACATGCCTCGCAGTCCGCAATCCGTGTCGTCGAGGCACTCGTCAGCGTATTGACACCTGTCGCCGTAATACAAGCGCTCGCAAATGCAACGACCGCCCAGGTAGCGACCTCTACCGTTGCAATCCACCTTCTTCGAACCACCTGGAGGAAAATGGGGGGAAACGTTTTTTTCTTTTAGAAGAAGACAATTTTACAAATTACCGACTTTAATTTTTTTAATTTAAAATTATTTTTATCTCAAGGGACTAACTGCGGATGCAATTTTCATGAGAACTTTCTCTAGATATAATTGTAATCGTCTCAATGCCCTGACATCGTTAAATACTATCCTACGCGTGTTTCAACTAGACCTGATACGTTGATTCAGGGAACGATTTCAGACGAAGAACACTACAGAACATTATTATTAAAAGCTGAAAAATGCATGGTTATTCCCCCAAGAAGTTATAATCTGAAATGAACGTTCAATTCTAGGTACGAGTAGTTTTCATGATTTTTGAAATCGTGAAAAATGCAATTTTTCAAGATGTGCAGAAACACACGAAGAACTTTCGTCAGTTCCGCAATTTCCATGAGAACTTTCTCTAGCTCAAATTGTAATTGTCTCAATGCCCTGTCATCGTTAAATACTATCCTACGTGTGTTTCAACTAGACTTGATCACTTGATACGTTGATTTCGGGAATGATTTCAGACGAAGAACACTACAGAGCATTATTAACAGCTGAAAAATGCATGGTTATTCCCCCAAGAAGTTATTATGTGAAATGAACATTCAATTCTAGATACGAGTAGTTTTCCTGATTTTTGAAATCGTGAAAAATGTAATTTTTCAAGATGTGCAGAAACACACGAAGAACTTTCGTCAGTTCTGTGCATCAGTGAAACCGCTCGTTAGCAACGGTATCTGAGATCTGACGACGCAGTTTCAAAGAAAAAAGTTTTAATCCAGAGAAATCACTGCGCTACTGATGCTGAATGTGAATGGAAATACAATTTCAAATTTATCGAGCAAGAAATTTACCACCCAAACCGAGCATGCAATCGATTAAAATAGATACAGGGGATGAATCAAGACTTGTTTAAAATCTTGTGATTTATCCCACAATGACAAGTACTTTGGGAGATTCTGACTCGACACTGGGAAAGTAAAATGTTTAAACCACGCCGCAAACGACTTGTCTGTCATGTTTGCATGGAAATTGTGTCCAAGAAAAATATACCCAAGACCTATTTCACATTTGAAACGCTGTCAGGTTTCAACCGGAAGTCACTGCACACCGTTCCAAAGAATGCATTATATCGAGAAAATTGGTCGAAGCCCAAAATTGCACAAAAGCTGAACAGAAAAAATGATCTCAGTCGAACACAAATTTAAGATCGTCGTGCCCTCTTTGAACTCCAACCGTTCGTCGGCTTCCAGGCATAAAAAAAAATCAAATCCGCGAATGAAGCTTGTCAAAAAACACTCCTCTTAATGACGTGGGTAAAAAACCTTATCTCATCGGAACCAACCCTCTCATGCCCATTGAGATGATCGACACCAAACCCCGTGCCCCAGAAAACGCAAACGGAGAAAATGAATAAGAAACGATAAAATAAAATAATATTAATGCAAAAAAAAAATAAATCGCGACCCGGAAAAACACGAGGGAACCAATTATCGCGGCATCTGCCCGATGCTATGCATAATGGCGGGCAATGAAGATGCAGAAAAACTGCCCTACTTCAGCATGGGCAATCGGCGGTATACAAGAGAAAGAAAAATAATTGCACAGGATTCTCCTCGGGATTCAATTCATCGCAACGCCGCATCATTCTGCGCATTTGACAGAATGAGGAACTCGTTGCCGTTGTGTGCACCTAGAAATTATACCCACAAACGGTCCCTTGAAAAGATTCAAAACCAGCTTTTGAATAATTGTCTGTTGGAAGCATCAACTTTNTTTTTTTGCATTGCCCAAAAAAAAAGAAAAAAGCTATATACTCGAGGACAATCTTTCGGAAAAGTCTTTTCAATTAGGAACCGTTTGAATCATAGAATATAAAATATTTTCGAAAATTTTGTAACGACTTTGAACTTTTTTTTGTTTGATTTTCAACCCCCGGCAAACGAATTTTCAGTCACAGAAGCCCTCTGAAATATCGAAAAACTGCCTCAGAAACGAATACACTATCACCAACACACCTCTCATTTAAAATTATCAACCCTGTTCAAATCGAACTCAGACAGACCTACAAAATAAAATCGAGTTTTCCATTTAGGGAAAACAGCATTTTTGCTAGTATGAATAATTACATGACGGTAAAATTTGCCATGTTCTAGGCCTTGAACTGCTGAGTAAATGAATTGACACAATGCTGAACTTGAAGGCAAGCGTAAATTTAATCAATTGGTCACTCGCTTCATTTGGAAAAATATCACTTTAAATTTTTTTATTGTTTGTTTTCCTTTTCGGGTACTAAGAATAATAACCCAAAGGCACCTGTAAATCAAGTTATATAGAGGCTTCAAGGGTAACGTTTTTGAGTTAGGGATGTCCAACTGACATGGTTCTCAATAGAATTCAAGGAAAATTCGACATGGGGTGATTTTCGACTTGGAGAGGTTTGACTGATGTACTGTATAATGAAAACACAGCTGCGAAGAATTTCACCAGTTTTCAAGCCGTTCAGTCTCCGCTCGGCATCTAATTTTAGTTTGCCGCGCATTCCAAGAATTTCAAGTAAAGTGGGGACCCATAAGTATGGTTCAGGTATTCCAGTCCGTAAAATGCGGTATTATCATTGCTTCTAAGGTTCAGTTGAAACCGAAAAGAAGCAAACAAATTTTTTTTTTTTAACCAGAAGAAAATCTGATGGGCAGGAAGTTACCTTGAGCGTTCCATTGCCCATGCGTGACCAGGACCAATTAAAGCAAACGCCGCAAAAAAAACGCGTTTTCCGTATCCGTATCGAATACAATCCCTCCTTCCTTCCAACCAAGATGCCGCTTTCTGCATTTTCTTCTGGGTATCTATACAAGGAATCCTTCCGGCTAGAAAACATGGGGACTTCACAAGTTCTGTCTGTCTGCGTGCTTGATACAGTATTTTTTAATGAATCATGACAGACTTGATCAGCACTGCCCAATGATTCAAATTTGACCAAGGGTCGGCCACATTAATACTTCTGTGGATTTGAAGTGTTCTTGCAGGACATAATCGAACAAAAACTATTTGGAGCGTTTAAAATGCTCTCCTTGCGAATGAAAAAATTATAATTTAATTCAGTGCTATGCAGTGAATCACAAGGATTGCCTTCTACAGTTGGCGATATTTCGAACCTCGTCCCCCAGGTAAAATTGCATGCAACTCCTGTGTCGAATTTTTGCAGAAGTTCTGTCTGTCTACGTTTGTTTTCCTTCATCGGACTTCATAAGTTCTGTGTGTCAATGTGCTCGATATTTTTTAATGAATCATGACAGACTTGATCAGCGCTGCGCAATGACTCGGATTTGACCAAGGGTCGGCCATATTGATACTTTTTGTGGATTTGAAGTGTTTTTACAGGCCATAATCGAAAAAAATATATAGAGCGTTTCAAATGCTCTTCCTTTGAATTAAAAAATTCTAATTTAATTCAGTGCTATGCAGTGAATTGCAAGGATTGCCTTCTACAGTTGAATATCAATAATTCGAACCTTGTCCCCCAAGGCAAATTGCATGCAACTCTTGTGTAGAATTTTTGCAACTCCTCGTCTGAATTCCCTTTGGAGACAATTCATTAGAAACCTCTCCGACTTGAAGGCATTTCCTCTCGAACCTCGGTAACTGTAATTTTCTGAGTCCCTTTGAGTATTATTTTCTTGACTCTTGACACAGGAAAGAGAAAATCAATCAAAAAAGTAAGTTGGTGTGTTTTGAAAGGAAGTCCAAGATAAATTGGGCATATGGACCTTGTCTCCAAGTTCAGCATCTTTTCAATTTATTTAATAAGTAATTTAAGGCCCAGAATATCACCATTTACAATTTCCGGCAATTTTTCAAATTTTCAGGCAAAAACGTGTTCGTTTCCCTGACTCAAAACCTGGCTAAGTGAAATTTGTTTGCTGGTCCCTTGAAATTCAAATTGAAGAGGTTTACGGTGCATACAATTTTTGATGGGTGGAGCAACATTTCGAATTTAAAAATTCATATTTCAATATACAGGTGGATTCTTTATGCAACACAAATTCAAGGGCTTCAAATCTCATTATTGACACCAAAACGGTGAGGACGACAGTGACGCAAAACGTGGGGACTGTACCACGAAAACTAAATTTTTCAAGGAACTGATAGAACTTTTGAATCATCTCTGGTACATGAAAAAAATAAAAATAATGCGGGAGAAGCTCCTCAATTACAGGTAGACAAGTGCCAAGGCCAACGAACTTTTGATTCAAATTTCCGACGCGCAAAGGAACAAAAACACGTTTGATCCGAGCTCGTAATTCTGGTCGCACATGCCGACATTTCACGAAAGAAAAAATTCTTCCGCCAGAAAAACAATTTTGTTTTGAATATTTTCAGAAGTTTCCTTCCATGGCATATTTACCTTGAGCTCCTTAAACTGAGGATTCGTATTCAAATAGAATAAACTATGCAAATAGATTTTGTTGACCTTGTCACAATGGGCCATTCGTAGTTCCAAGCTCGAGTCCAATTCAAAATGTTGCTTCAAGTTCAAATATACATTTTTACTGAAAAAAAAATTCAGGAACGCGGTTCCTTACAAATTAAGTGAATTTTCTTTCATGTTTATATGCACATATCCGGATTCATCTGAAAAGCTTCACCCAACTGATCGAAATCGGTCCAATTACATTTTATATCTAAGCTAACCAGTATTGGTTTAAAAAAAAAATCTACTAAAACAAGCTTTTATTCTGTTCGAAATATTTGAGGCTCTTGAAAAACGCCTCAAATCGGTTGGATTCATTTCTAGCCCATTTTTCTATGCGTGGATTTCCTCCATCTCGGCACAAATTGGATTTAAAGGAAGGGCACTTTTCATGCAAATTCACGTGGAATCCTTTCACTCTCTCGTGCTGGAATTATAAAACTAAATTACATTCCCACAGATGGAAATCAATTCAAAGCGGAATGCATATTAAAAGGAAGGAAGATAATCAAATATTTTCCAGCCGACCTTCTGGACCTCTCGGGAATAAATTATCTCATGTGATAACCATAAAAATTTTGCATCAAGCAGCAATCTCATCTTCTTGCCTCGGTGAAAATATCCTATGCTGAAATTTTGCTCTTGAAAATGTACTGCAAATTCATGAATAAGAAAAATTTTTTTTTCTGCATTTTACTTCGAACATAACTTCTCAGAGTGCTCAAGGTTCAAGTTGTTATATTCGAAGCAAGGCTGTGGCATCAATAAAATAATTTCGAAGTAGTCTACATAGATTTGGTGCGAATATTCTTTGAATAAAGCCCAAACAAAGGTAACAGCTTTTCTTCGATAGAAATTCTATCTTCATTCCCATAAGCAAAGATTCAAACCCATATCTATTGTTGGTTTTTCATTCTTTGTCAAGTCTTGCTTCGATTCGGATTCTATTCAAGGACTTGAAACCATTTGACGACGCCTAAAAAAATCAATATTCATCTACAAAAACAGAAAATTTTTCGGGAAGAGAAGCAAAATACAGGTGGACTCTCTGTACAACAGTTTTCTCTGTGAAACGATTTTTTAATCTTCTAGAGTTCTCTCCACATGTTCCAGGGGTTCTCTACAACGAAATTCTCTCCACAATGAATTTCTTTCTGGTCCCCCAATTTTTTTTTTCTGAGAGTCGACGTGCATTTGACTGAACTTTTAAAACCAACCCCCGTTAAAGCCACGAGGCTTTTCCCCGTTTTTTTTTTCAAATTGTATTTTTGAACATGAGGCAAAAGTGAGAGCACGCTGAAGAAAAATGAACTCACGCTTGTAGATATCCACGTCGGCGCAGGACCAAAAATAGTACTTGTTGGACCATTCGCTGGCCTGGCGGATGAGTCGGATCGTGCAATCCTTGCACTCGAAAGTGTGCGGGAATTTCAGCTCAAAGTGCTGGGCACTGTCAAAAACGAGGAAGCAATCAGGTCATCAACTTTTCAAATAACGACGCCCGCTCAACATTTCGCAAAATTTGTTTTACGCGAATGTAATTTTTTTTTACTCGTCTTGTAAATATAACGGACGCTACTGTGTGGCGAAATTCGGGGAGGCTGGTGGCATTTGCGAGTTCCGTGAATTTATTTGAGAAAAAGAATTACAGCCGGAGAAAGATCAACAGAAGTGAGTGACGCAACCGAAAGTTTCTCTCGAGTATTTGTTCGCTTCGTTCAGGCATCTTGGCTGATATTTTATTTTATTTTTAAGAAGGAAGATATAACTGACATTAGATATTTTAGAAACAGAAGCATGGTACCTGCATACGTGATTCAGAATGAAAAGAATTGCTAAATTTCAAGGTGCGCTAATCATAGTTTTCACTCAGAGAGTCATTTTTAATTCACGTAAAACACGTTTGAAGCTTTGTCCCTTGACATTTACTTCAGCGTGAACAGACAGCACTTTTGGTCACATTAAAAATTTTAACATAAAAAAGGAGTAGAATAATTGATGCCATATTGTGCACGTGAGCATTCCTATAGAAGGAGTGAATTATGGTCATCGGCGTATTTTCAGAGAATAATTTAATTCACAAGGCATTTCTTCATCTAATTTTTCCTGCTGGCAATGATTCTTTTCAAGACTTATGAAAATGTTCAGCGAAGAATTTAACGCGTATTCGGGAATATTTCAGCATGTCCAAATTGTCTTGCTCTTTTGAGATTTTTCTCAGATTATACTTTCAGTTTTGCAATAGGAACAAAAAACTATGGTATCCAGAATCGAATCATCTCGGAGGGAGGAAACTCTATTGGCGTTCAACAAATATAGATTGATGACACGGATCTTCTAAGCCGGAAGCATGGAAAATTCAGAGGGATTTTTTAAAAATTTGAGGAAGAAAACGTGTGCAAAGATTTTTAACTCACGTTGCATCACCGGTTACAAAATCGCTCTCCGCCGTTTTCGGCGTGAGGTCCTGAATGGTTCGTTCCTGATGATCCAACAGCTCCAAGCGAAAGCCACCCTGCAGATAAGTGAGGCAAACATTTCATCCATCGGTTCCGATCAATTTCAGACAGAACTGTAATTTTTGCTGCTTTTTTGTTTTGTTTTGCTTCTCCAAAACAAAGCTGGCATTTTCCCCCTCTAGTGGTTTTCAAAGCTTTCAAGCAGACGAAATAAAAAAAAATGCAGGTGTCGTGTTTCTCGTGCTAGGTCGTTCGTTATGAGGTGTTGTTGCTTAGTAATTCCAAAATATATTCCATTCGAAGGAAAAACAAAGAAAAAATTGAACCTCAAGACAACAATATTAGACATTAGGGCCCCGACAAGCAAAAGATTCGACTTCAGGACGCTTTAAAATGTATAAAATATGCCCTCGAGATACATGTCTCGAGATACATCAGACATTTTTCCAACTTTTTTTTACGAATTCGAAGAATTTTTAAAGAATTTGAATATCTCTTGAACAAATTGAGCTGAGATTCACAAAAATCATAAATACATTTCATTATGAATTTATTCAAATTCACATTATGAATTTATTTAAATTCACATTATGAATTTATTTAAATTCACATTATGAATTTATTCAAATTCACATTATGAATTTATTCAAATTCACATTATGAATTTATTCAAATTCAAATTATGAATTTATTCAAATTCACATTATGAATTTATTCAAATTCACATTATGAATTTATTCAAATTCACATTATGAATTTATTCAAATTCATAACAAAACAAAGTAATATTTATTACTTTTTCGGTGTTTTTTCCATCTACTATTGTGCTTGTTATTCGCTTCCTGATCTCTTTTCGATGCGATGAAAAATTATGTTGAACCCCGACATACGGACGATTCGACTTGAGGACGCTTTCAAATACTGTAAAATTAAAATCTGCCCGACATGTCTTGAAATACGGATACTTCGTCAACATCTGGAAAGTTTTCTCGTTTCAAAATTATCAGATTGGTTGAATAAGTTGAGCTATTTCTACGAATAAAAGTGTAAATCACATTTTATTACAAATTTACTTTAATTCATACGATCTTTCTAGGATTTTTTTCAATCAATTGTGTAAAAGTACAACACAGTGCAGCGAGATGTGTGTTTATATTTGACTTTTTAACTCCTTTTCTCGCCAATAAGGCAGATTCTGTATTCGTTTTCTTCTGCGCAGTTTTTGTCTATATTTTATGGTTAAAATTAAAAACAAAATTGAGGAATTTTTTCCGATTTTTTCCAAAAGTAAGAGTAATCAACAATATTCAATATTCCCTTGAAGTTTATGGGAAAACATGATTCGACATGTGGACGTTCTGATGCAGGGACAAATGGCTGAGAACCAAATACGCCCGGAACTCAAGAGTCCCACTACACATAAAAACCAAACGAGCGGATAAAACTTCTGACAAATCAATTGCATGAAACATTTTCGGCAGTTAACATTCACCACAAAATTGTTCGAAATGCCTCCGAGTCACAGTACTGTATTACCAATGAAAAACTCCGTCATCAAAAACACGCTAAAAATCTCGCCTTTCACGTTCCGCAACAAGAAATCAAATTAAACCGCAAACGGCTCAAATAAAAAAAAAATCCACGGACAAATGACAGGAATGAATCACGTCTTTGTCTCTTTCCTCGCGTGTGAAACTCAAGTGCTTGGAAACAATGAAATCAATGCGTTGAAAGTGACGAAAGTCGTGTATTTCGGTTAGCTCACCTGATGTGGATACGCAAGATGCCACGTGATATTGAACGGCGACCCGGAAACTAGCGACGTTCTGATTTCACCTGGAAGAAACAAACCGGAAAATTGGCACAAATTAACACTTCGGTCATTCGAATAAATGGGACATTATTCGCACAATGGCTCTCATAACGAAGGCTTTCTAAAAAAAAAGCAAGCAACCATAAAAAGAAATTCTTCGCAGACGGATGAAACCTGATGCCGATTTTCACAAATTTTCCACGGATTAAAAATTTTTTTTATTCCACAAGAGACTCGAGAGTTGAGACGCAGGAAGCAATATTTTGAGAGATTTCCATGGGCAAGAAAGTGAGAGCATCATCTATTTTATTTTATCATTTTTTGTGATGACACCTCATCTTGTTTTGGAATTCGTCCTTTGAGTACTCAAAAGTACTTCGCAACATTTGCGCACATTCATCATCAATTCCCATTTTTGTACAATTCATTATGCGAATACTGTACATTCTCTAACGCGAAAAATGTCTAGCCAAATACTGTACAGTCAAATCCACACAAAAGCGGTTGTGCATTGAAATGATTCAACAGTTTTTGATCTTGAGCAGTTTTTTTTTATACTGTAAGGTATTTCTGAATTTTGGTGAACGGTGAAGTCATAAGAAAAACTGAGAGAAGGCGTTCTTTTATTGTAGGAAATCATTCATTGCATAGAAAATAAATTCGCACGTGACGTAGAATCTCCGAATCGTCTTCGTTGAAATGAAATTCATTTTCAAGAACAAATAAATTTACTGAAGGTCATAGAGAAGTGTTTTACTCATGCGACAAGCAGGAAATTGGAAATTATGCTGTTTCTATACAGTATATCGGTTGATTATTCAAGACTTCGAAAATTTTCATTTCCAAAAAATCGAATAGAACTATAGAGAGAAACAAAATTTGGATGAAAACAACAGCAATTGGTTTACGCGGATGGGGGAAAAAAGTTGACTTTTCCGGAGCGATCGCAAGCTTCTGTTTCAGTCATTTAACTTTAACGGATCTTTTTCTTTTAATACACAATTCAAAAGAAATTTGGGGAAGTCCATCAGAAAGGAAGAAAAACGAGGTGATAATTTCCTTTTCGAAAAGTAGACAGATAACGAATCGTCTAGCGATATCATTCCGCCTCGTGCGTCTCTTCCTGGATCTTCAACACCTGCATTCCGACAAGGAATTGCC